ACTCTTTCCGTTTTATCTCCCAGTCTTTCTCTGCATGTTTTTTTATTGCCAGATCAACCTGATCATTAGTCATCTTAGAGAGCAGTGTTCTTCCCTTGTGGGTGTGCGTGTGTACATGCTGATGTCAGGGGTTTTATTCAAATAATATACAGTGCATCATCTTTTGAAAAAGTTTTACTTGCTGAAAGGAAGCTCACTCACTGGTCTGGCTCTGATGAAGACACAATAGCACAGAAACGTTAGTCTAACTTGTTTGTACCATTAAAAGCAGCAAATTAATCACATCTCTTCTGAAAAGCTCAGTTAAAATAAAAAAAAAAACATATGTCTGTCTTCAAAAACAAAATAATTTCTTGCCATCTGTTTTATTGTGACTCATTACAGTTTCTGATGTGTCTTTGCTTCCAACAATGTAGTTAGTCCCTTGGTCAGTTGTACTGCTGTTTTTGAAGTGCTGGATATAGAAATTGTGCTATTAATACCTAGACACAAATTAAACAAGGTCCTTAAGCAGCAGCATCCAACTTTTACCTGTAAGAAGATAAACACTTTGGAAATACCTTTATTTGCTTTCCTGATTGGAGATAAATAGGAAGATTGATACCACTTTCATGTCCATCCATCCATCCATTTTCCTCCGCTTATCCGGGACCGGGTCACGGGGGCAGCAGTCTAAGCAAAGATACCCAGACTTCCCTCTCTCCAGACACTTCCTCCAGCTCCTCCGGGGGAATGCCGCGGCGTTCCCAGGCCAGCCGAGAGACATAGTCCCTCCAGCGTGTCCTGGGTCTTCCCCGGGGCCTCCTCCCGGTGGGACATGCCCGGAACACCTTCCTAGGAAGGCGCCCAGGAGGCATCTGAAACACATGCCCGAGCCACCTCAGCTGGCTCCTCTCGATGTGGAGGAGCAGCGGTTCTACTCTGAGCTCCTCCCGGGTGACCGAGCTCCTCACCCTATCTCTAAGGGTGCGCCTGGCCGCCCTGCGGAGAAAGCTCATTTCGGCCGCCCTTTCGGTCATGACCCAAAGTTCATGACCATAGGTGAGAGTCGGAACGTAGATTGACCAGTAAATCGAAAAAAAACCACCAACCTGAAGGGAACAAGCCACCCTTTTCCGACTGAGAACCATGGCCTCGGATTTGGAGGTGCTGATTCTCATCCCAGCCGCTTCACACTCGGCTGCAAACCACCCCAGTGCATGCTGGAGGTCCTGGTTTGATGGGGCCAACAGGACAATGTCATCTGCAAAAAGCAGAGACGAGATCCTGTGGTCCCAAAACCGGACTCCCTCTGGCCCCTGGCTGCGCCTAGAAATTCTGTCCATAAAAATAATGAACAGAACCGGTGACAAAGGGCAGCCCTGCCGGAGTCCAACATGCACTGGAAACAAGTCTGACTTACTGCCGGCGATGCGAACCAAGCTCCTGCTCCGGTTGTACAGGGACCGGACGGCCCTTAGCAAAGGGCCCCAGACCCCATACTCCCGGAGCACCCCCCACAGGGCGCTGTGAGGGACACGGTCGAATGCCTTCTCCTTCTCCAGATAGCTTAGCATAAAGACAAGGGAAATGGCTAACCTGACTGTGTCCAATGATAACAAAATCCTCTTGTAAGCTACTCTAAAACACGTCTTGTTAGCTTAAACATCATTATATGGTTTTATGGGGACAGGACCTTTTCTTGGTTGCATGCAGTAATTGTCAGGAGTCTTGTTGTTATAGTACCTTGAGGTGACAGTGTAAAACTTCTACAAGTTGTTTTTTCACACTGGAGTTTCATATTTGACTGGGGCCACTACATGTAGAGTTTCCACATTATTCGTGCGCCTGTGTCTGTTTTCTCCAGGCACTCCAGCTTCATCCCACAGTCTAAAGACCTTCAGCTTGGCAACTCTAAATTGCTCATAGGTGTGAATGTTGGTGTGAGTGGCTGGCTGTCTCTGTGAGTCAGCCCTGTGATGGACTGTCCAGGGGAATGCATGTCAGTTTGCACTGCAAGCTGCTCTACAACTGAAAAATGCTGCTAATCGAAAAGGAATCCCCTGTAAACATGGAAATTAATTACCCCTGGGGATTATCATGTGTAACAAAATATTGCTGAACATTCAGCCTTATCTCGTGGTCTTAATGTGGTTGAAAGCACAGATTGACCTTGAGTTGAGATTATCTTGTCACACACTTCAGTGCAACTAATCATTGTAGCAGAGTTGTAAATGCTCCAGTCTTTGTTCTGTTTGTTATTGTGTGTATGCTGCATTTGTGTGAGTGTGGCTGTGTGCACACTATAGGTCATACATCTATGTCTCTGCAGCGTGTGTCTCTGCTGGGACGTTTGTGTCCAGCTCTGCTGAGAAAGCACACACAGAGACCGATTTTTCTCTTATTTATGCACTCTTTCTCTAACTTACTCTCACAATACATTTCCTTCCTCCCCCTAATCTGCTTGTGTCACTTCTTTTACTTCTTACTGACCTTCAATTGTCCTTCATATTATTGCAGACATTTGCTAGAAGGCTGATGTGTATAATTGTGTTTGGGTGAGTTTGTGAGCTGGAAATAGCCTTGTCCTAGTACGCTGGTCGTAATTAGCACGGCTGATGCTCTGAAGCTTATTGAGCTGCCAAGGCACGATACAATCATCCTATAAAATGCAAGCATACTTGAATAAGTGAGTGACAGTTGAATGAAAATCACGTTTTCTAACTTTAATTCTTTTCTTTCATCTCTACTCACAGTGATCTCCTGTCTTCGGGGTACGTGGAAAGACATTTGTCAGATAAAGGGAAGACTGTCATCACCAGTGTAAGATTCTGCAAATCATCTCTCCTCATTTTTATTCACACTTTAAGTATTAGATAATTTTTAGTTAGACTAGAAGGTGCCCAGGTCTTAATTTTAATAAGACCACATTCACCCCTGATATTAACATGCAATTTGTATCTGGCTGTGTGGTTACAGATAAAAGCATGTTATACAAAGTGTGAGTGCATGCAGTGCGCATAGTATTTGGAGTGCTATTAGATTAGCCAAGGTGCTGTTGGTCTGATTTTCATTATGATCAGATCTCAGCCAGGTTCAAATACACGCTGTACATTTCAAGTAAAGTCAAGAATCTTTATTGTCATTATGCATAGCACAACGAAATATTTTTCGGCAGCTCTCGGCTTAAAAGACAAGACACATTATTTACATAACGCACAATTGTATAAGTCAATATAAAACAATGAGCAAATAAAAAAGGGATGTATGGGTCAGCAGCATGTTAGCAGCAAGAGTGTAGTAACATTATAAGGTGCAGCTCAGTGCAAATCTCAGTCTTTAGGAAGAGGTGTGAGCATGGGTGTGTGTCTGCAGAGGTCCAGTGGTCTGTGTCTGTCCATAGGGGGGAGGTTGTGTGTGTGACTGGGGGTTAGGGGGTGATTGATTTCACAGCTCTGGGGAAGAAGCTGTGTCTCAGTCTGTTTGTTTTAGTCTTTATATTCCTGTACCTTTTCCTGGAGGGAAGAGGCACAAACAGACTGTTGCCTGGGTGGGTGGGATCTGCAGCAATCCGTCCGGCCCTCCTCTGGATCCGATCAGTGTATAGTGAGTCCAGATCCAGAGGAGGACTCCCTACAATGCCCTGAGCTGTTCTCACCACCCGGGTCAAGTCCTTTCTGTCCTGTGCAGTGCAGCTCCCGTACCACACTGTTGCACTGAGACAGAGTATGCTCTCTACTGTCGCTCTGTAGAAGTTTGTGAGCAACTAAGAGGAGAGACCAGCACGTTTCAGCTTCCTGAGGAAGAACAGCCATTGCTGGGCTTTCTTCACCTTCTTCATTTCAATCACATTCTGACCTTTTTTAAAAAGAAATCAACAATGGATCATATCACTGCTTGTGAATATAATGAGAATGGTATTATTCTCAGTTGTGTGTTGTAGAGCTGCACTTTCCTGTAAACCCCTCGCCACCCTTATTGATTAATTAGTGAGCATGTTTGCAGGCAGAGATAAATACTGGCCCATCCAACCATCCAGTTTTTGTTCATCTTAGATTTCAGTGAAGTGGTTCTGTTGCTGTGGCCTAAAACCTTCAACTAACATTAAGATTGCTTTGATAATTATCTAAAATTTGGACTTCAGTTACAGGACAGGGGACTGTTAGATCACACAGTTGGGACGATTATAATGCTCCAGATTTACTCACCTAAGCACCAGATTAGTGAGCTATCACATGCTTTAGAGAGAATGAGCCATGTTATTACATCACATATTGTATGATATGATCACTCCTAATTATGGAATTTTATAAAGCAAATTATGAAATAGTGTAATACATCTTGTAGATAAATATCTAGAATGCACTCTGTCTTTAGATTATTGTGTCGTGGTTTGTTTTTAAATAATGGAAAGAATAAGAGGCACATTGCATAGTTATTAATTCCTGTTGTTCAGAAAGGTTAATGAGACAAGCTCCTGTTACTCTGTTCATTGTAGAGGTGAAAATGCCAGCTATCATAACACAGCAGCTGCTCTGATAGGTCTACAGCGGGCTTATCTCTGCTCCTGTGGTAGAGAAAGTAGAGGTAGTAGTATTCATCTGAATGTGGTAGCAGTTCTAGGTTGTTGTTCAGTTAAATCCTGGGCAAATCCCAAAGCACAAAACCACATTCCACCATTCAGGTAAAGCTGTCATGATTCTTCTCCTGGCTGTTTTGAAAGTTTTCCTCATAAATTCCATTGTTTATTGGATGGAAGGCTCCCAATCTGTCCAGTATGAATAAAAGTCTAGAACATACCTGGTGTATGGGGGTGGGGGGTATACATAAGGAAATTTCATGTTGCAACATCAATATATATCATAACATAGTACATAGTCTGGAAAGTCATTTGAAAATCCATCCATCCATTATCTTCTGCTTATCCGGGGTCGGGTTGCGGTGGCAGTATGTATGGGTCAGCAGCATGTTAGCAGCAAGAGTGGGGTCGGGTTGCGGTGGCAGTAGGTTCAGTAAGGTATTCCAGACCTCTCTCTCTCCCTGGCGACATGTTCCAGCTCCTCTGGCAGGATTCCAAGGTGTTCCCAGGCCAGATGAGAGATATAATCTCTCCAGCGTGTTCTGGGTCTGCTCTGAGGATGTGCCCGTAAGACCTCCAAAGGGAGGTAGTGTGGAGGCATCCTGATAAGATGCCCAAATCAGTGGTTCTACTTCGAGCCCCTTCTGGATGTTCGTGCTCCACACCCTATCTCTAAGGGTAAATCCAGCCACCCTGCGAAGAAACGCATTTCAGCCACTGATATTCATGATCTTATTCTTTCGGTCACTACCTACAGCTTGTGACCGTAGGTGAGGGTTGGAGCCTAGATTGACTGGTAAATTGAGAGCTTTGCCTTTTGGCTCAGCTCCTTCTTCACCACAACCGACTGGTACAATGTCCACATTCCTGCTGATGCCGCCCCTATCAGCCTGTCAATCTCATGCTCGATTTTACCCTCACTCATGAAAAAGACCCCAAGATACTTGAACTCCTTCACTTGGGGCAGCAATTCACTCCCAAACCAGAGGGAGCAGTCCGCTGTTTTCCAGCAGAGCCAAAAGACCCTGATGATAATAGCAGCTTTGAGTCATGCTACCTCCCCTGGATTAGGGAAACTGGGGCACCCTGCTGGTTCCGGACCTGGGAGGTGAGCTCGCTGGCGAGCATCTGGGCCTTGGACACAACTCGAAGAAATGACATGATGCCACGGCCCTGTAGACCTACCACCTGCAGGGAAAGGAATCCTGGTCGGGTGCAATGCAAGTTGGTTGGCAGGTTACGTCGGGTACCTGGGTGTGTTGATCCCTGGCTGTGTAGGCTAGCTCATTTGAAAATTTGTTTTATAAATTTAACAGACATGAAGGCAAGTTTTGGCCAGTTCAACACATCAAATATCTGACAAATAAAGGTTTCATCCTTATGTTTATTTATTTATTTACAGGGTATCATGTACATTAATCAAGACTGACATCCTCATGAGTAGTTAAATGAAATGTATGTTTTTATGATTCCCTTATTCTAATTCATTATCTAATTGCAATGCTCATATTTACACAGACATTAAATAAGTCAGTGTCCCTCTTGTTTATCAACTGCCTAACCTTAACTTTTTTTATTGTGTTGTCCAGATTAGATAATTAATTAATTAATCTTATGTGGGTCTAAGGAGATCACAGACCAGACCAAATTGGCAACACATACACACTGAGGATGTAGCCACAGTGCTGGGTTTTGGATCTTTCTTGCTTTGATAAGAAGTGGAGCAGAAGGTTCTGGGTGATAGAAGGAGGAGAGAGTGATAGTAGAGCACAGCACCATATAAATAGCCCTGTCTGTGTCTTTATTTCACACTCTCCCTACCTGGCTTTACTCAACCTCTCTCTCTTCATCTATAGCTCCATCTGAGTTTATCTACCCAGCTTCTTCTGCTTCCTTTGTTGCATCCCATTCATATGTTTTACCTCTCTGTCCATCTCCCTAATTTATATCCCCCCTCTTCCCACTGCTGCAGTGTTAAGATTGATTTAGTCCCATCTGTGACTTCAAACATCAGATTCGTATCTTGTTTCATTCATCCTATAATCAGATTCAGAAATGATAGCTAAGAGTGATGAATTGGGACTGTGTGAAAGAGTAAGCAGAGAACGTAGCACTAAAGAACAAGGGAAAAAAAATTCAGCATGACCTTTATAATTTTATTTTTATAATTCAATGATGACAATTGACACTTAAGTTTTCTCACATGCACATTTGTACTATGCATTTGTGCAGACCTCTTTAAGCTACATTTGTTCTCTGAACTCTCTGTAATTCGTAACACAAATTCCTGTAAACCTTTCCTTATATTCCTGTTGTGAAGGACCTATGCACTACATGGACAAAAGCACTGTATGTGGCCACACTGTATACTGTAATTATTGTGTCATTTGTTTTTTATGGTTTGAGCATCTTGGTTCCAAATAGGGGGAATCTTAAAAAGTTTGGCATTTTATGGAAATACATTTATTAACTTTTCTTGCTGAGAGTTGTCTGTGGTAAATAGCCAGGAGATTGTTAGCTTGGCTTAGCATATAGAATAGAAACAGGGGGAAACAGCGTTGTCCAAAAGTAAGAAAATACACTTGGCAGCACCTCTAAAACTCATAAGTTAACACACTGTATTTCAAGTAAAGTTAGCTGTTTCCCCCTTTTTTCAGTATGTATGTTAAGCTAAGCTAACAGTTTGGAGCAGCCGCTCTTCTATTTCAGCAAAATTTCAGCCTCTGTGTGCAAAGTCAAGCCAATAAAGAAATTGCTTTTTTTTTGTTTAGAATGTAAGAGATGACTGGCCTTCACAGAACCTGAACCTCAACCCCATCCAACACTTTTGGGAAGAATTAGAGCACTGCATATCAGGCTTTATCGCCCAGCAGCAGTGCTCGAGCTCACCAATGCTGTTGTAACTGAATAGGTGCAAATACCTGCAGTCAGATTCCAGAATCTTGTTCCAAGTATTCCCAGAAGGGTGGAGGATATTATAGTGGCATAATAATGCCCATAAATCTGGCTTTCACATACTTTTGGCCCCGTAGTATAATAATAACAACAACAAACACATGCATTCTCACACAAACCCGTAAGATGGGTGGACTGGGATGAAATCCACAGAGAGAACTGGATGTAAGAGTGGACAGAGTGGTGCAAGGCTGTGCACATCATCAGACTGTAGAGCAGAAATTGATCCTCTGATAAAAGCAGCGTTTCCTCAGGGAGACCGGCTTCCTGCCTAATGGCTGTTAGGCAGCAAGAAATGGACCAGGAAGACATGTCCTGCAGACCACTTAGACACTTAGACATCATACACATCTGTAGAAAATAAATGTGTTTATAGGAAGGAAGAGACCCACGCTGCACACACACATACAAAGATGGAAAGTTTTTTTTACAAGAGACTGATGCGGTGGCTTTTTATTGTGGAGAAGTGGAGAAGATAAGAGAAGTTAGAGAGTAGTTAACACACAGACGGTAAGATGTGAATTAGTTCGGCTCAAACTGCAAAATACCACACAAACACACTCAAAGTATGAGCACATATGCACACTAGATCAAGCTTGCACTGTGTGTGTTAGCAAATGAATTCTGACTGACTAATTTCCTGATGGAATATGGAAATAAAAGCAGCAAGCGGCATGTTTCACTCTGTGTTCGAGTCTGCCATGTGTAGGATTGTAATCTGTGTGTTTCTGTGTTCTGCCCACAGGGAGGAGAGCACTGCTACTATCAGGGGAAGGTCAGAGACATTCCTCTCTCCTTTGTGGCTCTTTCAACTTGTCAGGGATTGCAGTAAGTACGAATAATGTGTGTATGTGACTTTTTATGTGTGCGTGTGTGTTTCATAGCCAGCATGGCTGTCTGTGTATGTCTAGGTCCTGGGCCTTGCTCCCATTTATCCATTAGGTCAGTCTAATTAGTTTTAGCCGGCCCTTCTGTCTCTTTGCATTTTTCGGTGCACAGGTTATCATTCACAGAGACAGGTGCTGCTCAGACATCTTCTCTTCCTCTTGTTCTCGTTTTCTTAGGGCTGTTATTTTTAGCATTTCTGCTCTAAAGCAGTGCTCTCTTAGGGTCAGAAACAAGGCTGGGAGGAATGCATGCACATTGTATATCTGTGTTATGACTTGGTATAAGTGTGATTGTGTCTGTATATACTGTATACGTATGAAGAGATAACATCATCATCAACAGTCATCCTCACTCATGGTGTGATTGTTTCTATTATGTTTTTCTATCCAAGCACATTGTTTGCCATGCAGTACATATGCATTGTATGGCAAGAGTCAATGTGTGTGAACACGGTTAACAACAGACAACGGAAAGAAACGGGAAGATGCACACACCAGTTTTGCTGTACTGGGTTTATGCCAGTGACCTTGACACAGGGCATGTGTCTAGGTCACTAGACTGCCAGGACAAGACAGTTTACTATACACCGACAGCAATGCACAGTAAACATTGGGTACAATTATGATCTCATAGAGAAGACATAGCAGATTATAAGGCGAATGGCAATGTTAAAAGTATTTCCTGCAGACTTGACTTCCTTCAGTTGTTGTTTATAGTATGGCTTAAGTTTGACATGTTAGTACTAATCAGTTCAAATGTTAGTATAGCGTTTTTATAATGCTGCTGAGGTGTTGTATTCATAGTATCAGTAATAGTTGTAGTATTCATTGAAATTTCAGGTTTTAGGGATTTTCATTGATTTTTCTTCATTGTTAAAGAAACACACAAGCTGACGTTATAATGAAAACATACACACCCATAATATACCCTCCACACACTGAGGTGTGCGTATGTGGGAGAGAGAGAGAGAGAGAGAGAGATATAGACAGGGCGAGGTAGACAGTAAAGCAAGTGCATAGTAGTTTCAGGGGGTTAGACATTAGGGAGAGAGAGTATTTCCCTTATGCTGAGTCAGGTGTTTACCATAATATACACCCCACTCTCTTTTCTTACTTTTCCTTTAAACACACAGACACACACGCAGATACTTTATCCTGGAACGCAATAGGCTTTTAGCTGTATACGGAGGGATAGTGCTCTCAACTACAGTACGTCCATCAAATGAGACGTAGACAGCTCACTGTTGACTCAGGTTTCTGTTTAAAGCATCGTTAAAGTTGTTAATATTTGACTAAAATGGAAATGCTCATGCTAATTAAGAAATGATCAAACACTTTGCCTTTTTGTTTTCCAAAAATGCATATATTTAAATACTGGGATAAACATAAGACCCATTTAAAATCTGCTTTTGATGCAGAACAACAGTGGAGCTTCAGCTTGGAAACTTTGGATTTTATCTTGACTGCAGAGTTATGGTGTGCAGCTTTAAACTCTCCAAAAGTTGTTTTATATCTGAAACCTGCAATAATAAATTGTTTGGCCACTCCGGGTAGCACAAACAGGTTGTAAACACAAGTCGGTATGATAAACTTGTTAGCAAACAGTTGCATATATTCATTCTCTTTTAGCTTTGGTTTTGGTCTTAACCAACTCCTGAGGGAAATATCTGTCACTTTGTTGTTTGGTACTAAGAGGAATTTGGATCTTTTTTTTTTTTTTTTAGCTGAAAACGGTGAGAGTGAGCCAGAAGAGTAAAGCTGTGAGTAGGGCAGCTATATAATGAACTGAAACTCGCTATAGAGCTTTGTAAGGCTGAGGGCAGCTGCAGATACAGATGATAATTGAATCCGTAGTTTAATCAAATGACCCCTATGATTTATGAAGAATTTGTCAGTCAGACACTGTTTCTCTCTGAGTGTTATCAAAGAGTGTGTGTTGAAGGTGAAACGTGTACATCGAAGGCTAGAAACTGAAAAAAAGCTTAAGAGCGAGTTGGAAGAGAAATGACTGTGTACCTGCAATGTTTACTAGTGATGGGTAGATGAGGCGTCATGAAGCGTTTTGACACATTGCCAAACTGTATTGATACTGTGTCGATACTGTGTCACTGAATACTGACACCTGCTGGACCTTAAAAATCCCTACAGGCAACCTAGTTGACAGACTCAACTGACACTGATTTGATGACCTAGTATATACAATAATATAATTTAAGTCATTGTATTTTATATTGTATTATTTCATATCTTCATTTAAATTTAAAATTTCCTTGATATTTTTAGATACAGTCAAAAAATAATGTGAACATGTATCATAACGTGAAAATCTAAATGAACGTGTTGTGAATGAGGATGCTTGTGGACTGGGCTTTTTTTTTTTTTAACAA